GTATGGTAAGGAAAGTAAATTAACTTATTACTACGTCGTCGTACTTACGTTCGTACGGTACGGTTTCCGTTACGTTCGTTTACTACTTATTAGTTACTACACACACACACACACACACACACACACACAAACACATTTTGATAAAACTTATTTATATTGGGCTACAACTGAGAGCATAGGAGCAAAGAACAAAGTATTCTATTCGTTATATATGGCTTAAACAAACATTCTTGATAAATTCTAACTCTGTGGTTGACACTTAAATACTAACACTCCTGATAAAACATTGTAAATCAATAAATTTGTTCAAACGTTCCTCCAATCATTCTTAAATCTCTCTTGGCTTAAAGTTTTTTGCGTAGAAAATTCAAATGTATGTTAAGGAAGAATAAAAATTCATTGTAATCAAGCATTATACTAGTGGGTGTTCATGGAAGTGGTGGGGGAGTTTAGAAAGCTTGGACCAATCAAATCCCAATTGTAGTCTCCCCTGAAAAAAATTAGTCCCCTCATTTTTCAGTATAAACATTATTTCTTTGAAATTACTTAGTTGCATTTATAGTCAGCAATAAAATCCTACTCATAATACAAGATCTCACTGAAAAGTGAAAAGTTTCAAGTATTACTTGAAATAGATTGTTAGATGTTAATTCGCATTTGCTTGACTAAAAGAATGTCTTTCTCACCCTCTAGAAGGATGTAGTTTCCTCCCCGTGAAAAGAGGACTAGACACGCCTCTGCCCTATATTTCTGTACAGCCACTTCACATGCAAGTTGCAGGAGCTAATAACTTATCTCCGACTGATGCTGTATTGAAAACTTCCTTACACTAAAAACGGACTCGTGGCTCATTTGCTAGTTGCGTTTTACCTTTGAGCAAGTTCCGTTGGTGTTCTTGTTATTTTACAAATAGATTCTTCAACTATTACGCTATAAGAATTTACACACATGACAGCAGCAATCAATTGAAACCTTGACAATGAATATTGGAATACATCTTGAGTAAAGCATACTACATATATCAATAATCTAACCTATGCACACTTCTCCTGGGTAGTCGTCATCCGGAGAATTATCCGTGTATTTCTCTCGACATACACATTGAAAGCCACCAGCTTTACTTTTGTCCGGAAGACAGTCTGCATTCTTACTGCAGTAGTTTAGCTCTTCGTACTGGCAAGGGTTGATCCCTGTTGGGAAAAAGTTGAAGATTCATCTTAAAACACAATTCTATCACTATAGGCAACCAGACAACTATCCCTAGAAAACAGTTTTTTTTTAGTTATTTGACGTTAAATGGTTACATAAACACTCGTACTGGCATCTAACCCTCATGGAATTCCACATTTTAAAAAATAAATATAGTATGTGACTTTAAATTTTAATTTCAGGTACACCCAGAATTGATTTTCGTATTTTAATAAAATAAACAACACACTTTGAATTTTTTCTTTATCTTATCAACTTCACTTTTAAGAACATTCACAAATGTTGGTATGTACACGGAAAGTTAAATTTTGTAAATTTATTATGTTTGTTAAAATTAATGCTTTAGCGAGTGCCGAAATATGTAGGAGAAACGCTGATAAGTTTCATAATTCCATCCATGTCAAGTGGACAGTTATCTCCTGAAGCAAACATTATTCATTTCAGATTTAAAATGAAAACTTGTCCACTTTTAATAAACAATATTTATTATCATTACTTTTATAAATCAAGACCACTGCTTACTTTGAGGATATATGGAACTTATTGATTTGATTACACAAGACATGTAGTTCAATTGATAAATAACCAACTTAACAGTAAGCAACAAACAGTTAACCTGAAGAAATACTCAGAAGGATTGCATTTTCAAGGTTCAGAAGCGCCCCTTGCAACAAGTGGATTTTATTGCTAAGCACATCCTCAAGTTCCTGGCCAACAAATTTCTCCAGTTCTTCTGGTGACATATCCTCATGCAGACCTGCCAGGATCATCTGAATGTTTAGCACAACGCTTCCAGCAGAGAAACCGTCGATGATAACATGAGCAACGAGTTTCTGAAGAGAGTCTGACAACTGCACTACTGACCACATCTGAAAGATCCAAATACAGTATTGTGTAGTAGTATTTTAAATAATATAATTTCAATAAAACTTATAACCGCTGATCAACGTTTCTTCAGTTTAGCGATTGATCTTTAATATTACCGATTTTCTTTTAACTGCGAAACGGTCATGGGAACTAAAGATGTTTTGACGAATAAAATATGGGGTTTTGACACATAATATTTAAAAATTCAGATTTAACAGAGAGGCGTTAGACTGACAGAATTTTTTCTTCAAAACTACTTAGTACTACAGGTATCCGATCCCAAATCCGAAATTCTTGGGACCCGAGTAATACCAGATTTCGGAATTTTCCGGTTTTAGGGTCGTTCACCCTGGCATGTACAGATTATATAAATAAAGTATGAAATACATACATACATACATACAAGGTTATTTACAAGACTTTTGGACATTTTCACGATGAGCAAAGGAGTAAAAATTCAATTTAACACAGATAGAGGGCTGCACAACCAAATAGCAGGTTTGAACTGAGACGTATGTACTGTATCGACTCGCCACGCCCCCCCCCCTCCCAGACAAAGCGGCTATGCCAGTAATTAATCTAAAGTTAAGCCTAAAAGAAATTTTGCTTATTAATTTGCATTTACCTATTTGTAAAATACTTTTAGTCCAGTTTTCAGTAATTTAAAGTCGAAAGTGTGCAGCAATAACCAGGAAAAGTCCGGCTACAAGGAATTTTTCCAAACTAATGGAGATTTCACCAGAATAGTCTATTTCTGAAACATTCCGGTTTTTGGGTTGCCGGATTTGGGTTCGTCTACCTAGAGTAGCATAACGTCAAGGTAATACAAATCAGATCCAGTACAATTAGTTTAAGTTGATCTTTACTAATGAGTATTTCTAACAAGGTAGACAGTCAACTAACATTAGGCCTATTCAAGCCTTTTGTTTGTAGTTAACTTCCAAGCTACATAATGGGCTATCTGTGCTGTGCCAACAACGGGTATCAAAAACCCGGTTTTTAGCGTTATAAGCCTTCAGTCTATGCCAGTATGGGGGCTACTAGAATCATGGTACAGAAAAACAAAAACGGTGCTAAACAGCAGCTTCACTGATTAGTTTGTTGAATTTCGTGCAAAGCTTATCGAAGGATATCTGCGCTAATCGGCCCTAATTTTGAAGTTAAACAATAAAGAGGGAGGATATTCAATTAACGCCAACTTTTGGGCTACTTTAGTCGGAGAGAATAGTGATTTGACCCACGGACTCAAAGTGCGGAGCGCGATTTTTTTGGTGGGGGTTAACAGAATGTAAATCACGGACCCTCAGATTCAGTCTGGCACGCTATTGTTATGGCCCTACTAATTAGTCTTTAATATAGCCAACTAAGCATCTTATAATTTTAATAAAGGCTGATACATGGCTATTGTGAACTTTACAAGTTTACTTAATTAGCATGTATTTGAGGTATATTTAAATGTTTTACTGAGTGTTACTTTATAGAAGGTAAAAGAACTTTTAAATGAAGCCAAAAATTCCACCCAATGAAGAAAAAAAAACCTCACGGCTGACGACCAAACTCAGATTGTAAAGAACATTAAATCGTACACATGCACACAATTACAAAGATACAAATATAATTTCAACTACATTCCCCCCTCTCCAAATGACTCAACATTAAAATTTAGGGATCAGTCTCGGAAGTGTACAAAGCACAGTTACCTTCTTGTGCAGCTTTGCGTTAAACAAACTACATTCCAGTATTATAGATTTTTATATACAAGAAACCGATTTTGGGATAAGAGTTTTATTACCGTTTGTTCTGCGTCTCGTTTCTTGCGTTGGTGAACAACTGAAGTAGGATTATCCAGGCCTGTAATGAATTCTTCATTTGGAAACTTTAATGAAGCCATGACCGGAATTTTTTCTGAAAAATAAATTGATTTAACAAGAATTCAGGCATAATCACTTTAAAGAGTTCTACTATTCCTTGCATGGATGGCATAGCAGAATACACTATTGTTACTACCGCGAGAACTAAGGGCATATTGTTGGGGTGGTATGACTGTTTCAGTGTTTCAGAAACAAGAAATTTCCTTTGATTTGTGTTGCTAGTGTTGTGTGTGGTTGACTCGAAAATATAGAAAAAGCTTATGTTTAAAGTGCTCTTAAATTAAACCGTTTTAAGATTTTCTTTATATCATTCAGTTCCTTTGATTTTGAAAGTTTATTGCCAATGGAGGTAATAACTATTTACTCTTAAGAGATACTAAAAAAATGAAATCAGAATGTTTCAAGTTTACAATTAATATTTTGGCAAACTCATGTCCAATACAAAAACTTGCTTTTATTTAGTTAACCCGAAAATGTATTACTTATTACCATAAGAACATGAAAATTAACACTCAAACGTATACCTGTCTTACCTTGGCAAACTGATGTTTCCGGATTCCTAGCAAAAGCCGAGCCACACTCACAAACCGAATGCGTACCTTTAGACACGCACCTCTCCTTCTGAGAAGCATTGCAATGTTGAATTGAGGTGCAAAATCTTTGCAATGAAGACTTTGGTGTTTCTGTTGATGAGGATCTTGAAACACCAAGTGTGCGTTTGTCAGCCATCCGAGTTATTGGTACGTGTGTTACATTAGTTTTTCGAACACCAGTGTAATATTTTAAAGTCAAATTTCCTTTAAAACTTGGTGTTAAGGGTTTTCGTTGGTCAGCAGTTGAAAGCATTCTCTCACTCGTGGATTTAGTTGTTTCCTTAATCATCATTTTACCAAATTTCAAATTTTCTTTTCCGTATGTAGTTGTTTCGTGCATCATTTTTAAAGAAGCTGGATCTCTACTAATATTCTGTTTGATTTTCGTTTTTATTATTGGTTTAGAGGTCACGGCCCATTCGTTACTTCCAGTCGTCATTTTCGTCGCATTCGGGGTGAAAATGTGTTTCTTACTTTCAGATATCGTCCAAGTAGTTTCCGAAGAAATAGAACTCAATGTCAGATTATCCATCCCCTCTCTGCTGGTCTCCAATGTAAAATCATCACTTAACAGACTTTCTCCAGTTACATTAACACTGTCCTCATCTCTTCGGAATATTGGTACATCAAAACCTAATAGGGGCACAACCTTAGTGTTAAGATCTAGTGTTGAATAATTAGCCACAAAAGTACGATCTGGTGATGAAAACTTCTGTGGTGGTTCCGTTTCTGAAACAGAATGTGTGGTTGAATGCAGATTCATCACTATAGTATCTTCTGGTTTATCTTTTCCATAGGTCTCCATTCTCAATAGATCTGTAACTTGGAAGATTTTAGTTCCATTTATTAAGTCTTTAAACTCAGTTGTGTTCAAATTACCAATATCGAATGTTTTTTCACTCCACGATTTGTATGGTGATGGTGGTGAATAAGGTATTTTAGTTATTTCATTTCTAGTCCAAAATGTATCAATTGGTTCTCTTCCAATTCCAACCGAGAACTCACTTAATTCACTTCCAGTCCAAAGTTCGTCACTCGATTCAGCTCCACTTCCAACCCACAAGTCACCACTCGACTCAAACCCACTTCCAATCCACAGACTGTCATTTTGTGTAGTATCACTTTTCCTCAAAAGGCTGATACTTGGTTCACTTGAACTTGCTGCTGAGAGTTTATCACCCAAATCACGTTCACTCAAAAAATCACTTCCTACCTCGAATGTACGATCTGGTGTAAAGCTTTTAGCAATCCCAGGAATAAAGCTACCACTAGAAATAGTTGTAGAATCTACATCCAAATGCATTGTAGAGGTTGTGTTAATATGATTATTTTGCTTGTATTTCGGTTTGATATCAATGATAAGTGAATCACCAAAAAAATCCTTAATTTTGTTCCATACATTTAAGTTATTTTCAGATTCTGCGTTTTCTTTTGTAATTTTCTTTGCTAGTTCTACACTATCTCCAAGTTCTGTTTTATTATGGTCGATATAGGGTGTTGATAAAAATGAGTTTGTGTATGAACGATTATTTTCAGTTGTTACCAGTTTGATAGATTCTTCGATGCCGCTGACCGACTTTGGAGCAAATTCTATGTGATCGATGGATGAAATAGTTGTCGAACTAACATCTTCCTCCACAAAACCAATTTTTCGATCACCTTCTATGAAAGAAGTGCTTTTAGAATCATAATCGATAATCATTACACGAGGAAATAAACTTATATTTTTAGGCTTGTGTGTCACACCCTGGATATACTTTCCGTCAACTTTAAACTTGTTTTCTGAAGTCCCTTTTTTTACTATGATTGTTTTATTGTCTGAAGTGCTTTTTATTACGTTGGTTTCAACACCTGAATCGACATTTTTTTCGTAAAAACCAGACTTACGTTGTTTCTTAGTTTCTGAGAAGCTTTCTTTGTTGTTCTTTTTTTTAGCTTGAGCATCGACAGCAGTAATATTTTTTATGTTATTTAAAATCAAAACTTCTTTCAGGTTGGAGTTTGATGGAATGTATTGCGAGATTGTATTTACTCCTCCAGCTATAACATTTCCATATATGGCGGAGTTATTCAAAACAACAACAATGATATAGTTGTTCTTCATATTCCCAACAGTACGCATCAGTAAGTTTTGAAGTTCTGAGGCACATGTCGATAATGTTGAACATGATATATTAATCGAACTCTTGGGTGTAGAGGTAGAAAATGACGTTTTGGTATCTGTAGTAACAATCTTCAATTCTACAGGAGGAATGGTATCTACGAAATCAGAAGAAAGAGGAGATGAAGAGAAAATAGTTTGAATTTCTTCCGATTTTGGATCGAACTTTTCATGAGATGGTTTGGTGGAAGTAACTTTTGGAGATTCCGGATTCGGTGTAAAAATAATCCTTGCAAGCAGGGATGCATTCTTTATTTTCTCCGGTATTTTATCGCTGACACTAGAACTCGTGAAGAGCGAAATTTCTTCTCTACTGGCCATGGAAAAGTTGCTCATTGGTGGGATTGCGAGACTTTTTTCAAGCCCTTCATCTATTACAGACCTGTCAAAAGAAGAAAGAGTTCTTATATCCACTAATAACTCACCGCTGGTGATGGGGCTACTAAACGAGGAAGATGTCTTTACTTCAACTTCTGTAGCGAGAGGAGTGCTAGGAAAAGGAGTTGCTACTTTCTCCACAGTCTTGTCCCCAATATATTCTTTGGTTGAAATTTCAGTAGTACTTTTTGGAACATCCGAAATGGCTGAAGAACCTTCATGTTCAATATCAATCTTTTCAATGTCTATTGAGGACTTGGGACTTTTTGAAAAATTCGTTAACTTAATAATAGGATCCGCGATTAAGAAATTGATAAATTTGGAAGGAATTTCTGTTGTACTAGAAGTTTCAGTTAAGTCAGAGAATCTAGTAGCTTCAGCAAAGAGTTCTTTTGTGGGTGAAATTGTTTCAGTGATCCCCGATAATGTAGAGGAGCTTTTGCCAACGACTTCAGTAGTGTATGGTGTTTGAGGTTTCCCTGAAAAACTAGTTTTTTTAGTTGTTTTAGTAATTCCAGATATGCTAGTAGCTTCAGGAAATGCTATCTCTGAGGAGAGTATAGTGTCAGCAATGCCAGAAAAACTTGTACTTCCAGAAAAAATGTCCGCTGTAGTTAGGGTTTCGACAACTTCAGTAGTTCTTGGGAATTGGATAGAGGTCTCCGAGGGGGTTGAGATTTCATGCATTCCAAAGAAACGTGAGATTTCTGGATTTGTGGTAGTTTTTTCTGTGATCCTAGAAGAAAATGTGGGTTCAGGATGGATTTCTCTTCTGGAAATCACTTCAAGCATATCAGAGTAGCTTTTATCTTTGACAAGTTCTCCTTTGGTAAAAGTCACTTCACTGATGCCAGAAGAACCTGGAAGGTATTTTACTGTGATCTCAGGAGAAATTGCAAGGGACAAGGTATTTGCAATTTCAGTACTCTTTGAAAAACTTGGGGTTTCAGGAAATACATCACTTATTATAGAAGATGTTTCAGTTACTCCAGTGAAACTTGTTTCGTGAAAGAGTTTTCTTGCAGTGGTAGGCGTTTTTAGTGTATCAGAGAAAATTATAGGTTCAAGAAACGCCTCTCTTACAGTAGATGTTTGAGAAGAAGCCTCTTTTGCAGTAGAAGTAGTTTTTGTCATCTCTGAAAGCCTTTTGGTTTCAGGAAGTACCTCGGTTTTAGTAGTCGATTTAGGCACTTCTGAAGAACTTTTGGCTTCAGGAAACATCTTTCTTGCAGTCAAAGCTTCTGCCGTTGAAGTAATTTCAGTTTCGAGAAAGGTTTCTCCTGTAGGAGTATCAGTTATTTCAGTTGCCTCAAAGAAACCCATAGTTTCGAAAGTTGATTTTCTTGTGGTGGGAAGCGTTTCAGAAACATCTTGGGTTTCTTGATCTTCCATTGTAGTTGAAGTGGTAGAAGTCATCCTAGGTAAACGTGTGATTTTAAAAGTTGCTTCTGGGCTGGCAGTTATTTCACTTATCTCAGAACTTTTAGTTACAGGAAAAACTTTTGTGGCAGTTGGTCCTGGAATCTTCATAGGAATTTTCATAGCTCCAGAGAATTTTTCTTTTAAGGTGGGTACTGTGAAAGTGATTTGGGAGAAACTGGAAGATTCAAGTAGCATTTCTGATGTAGTTGAATTTGATGCAACTGTACCAGATGATTCGGTAGTTTCAGAAAGGATTTCACTTGAACTGGGAAGTGTTTCAGTTATCCAAAAGGCACTTGTGGTATTAGTACGAATTTCTTCTGTAGTAGAAACACTTTTGTCAGAACTCCTCAAGATACCTGCAGCTTCAGTAAGAGTATCTTCTGTGATAAAAGGTGATTCTGTTCTCCTCGGCAAATCTGTCATTGATAAAGAGAATTAAATATTCTGTTATTTTGATATTATTCATATTAACGAATGATATGTTTTCGCGCAGAGACTGGCAACCGGAAATACTACACTGGCTTCAAATCAAAGAAATATCGGCATTATATAGACAGGCATTATATCTTTTGCGAACAATCAATGGGAGAGTGGGGTGTGGGACTTCTTACAGAACTGTTTAACCAAACCGTTGACGATGGAAAGAGACGCTAACTGCTTTTAAATCATTTTTATCTATGTATGCAACAAACTACTCGTGTTTCCTACGTATTTCACTCAATTTTTGGTCACTTCTTAGTGTTTTTAACAGAAAAATATTAAAATGTTCCTCGCTGGCAATATTAACCAATATGTGGACCACACCAGCAGTGAGAGTTAAATACAGCCTATCAAAACAGATTGTTTTAAGTTTATTTGCTAATCATCAAGAGTTTTCACGTATGACCTACGTAAAAATAGGAATTATACACGCAACTTAAGTAGGATAAATTGGACCAAGAATTAACATATCAAATGGGTCTTCATTTTCAAGTCTCGCTGATTCGGCTTGGTTATGAAACTAAACAGCACATCTTTACCGTCGTGTGCATCAGGTCCGTACGGAGAATGTTTGAACAAAGGGGGTTGTTCTAATTTGCGAGATCAAAATCTAACATACTGTGCGAGAAGCATGCTGATTGCGCTACAGAGATATGGGAGCATCCGACCACTTCAAGCCAAAAAATGCTAATGCTTCATCAGAAGACTGTAGAGTATGTAGAAAACGTTAATTACCATAAGCAGCTGCGCTATTACTATATAAGCATAATTTTTTCAAATAAAGTCTGAAAGTTATATTTTTGATAATCAGAAAAAGAATCATTTCTGTACTTAATTTAAGTATTATTCGATTTACTGTTTCTTGAATTTAAGCATGTGGAGTTTATGAAATTATTTCATACGTAAGCAGTTATAATTTACCGTGATCAGTTTAGAAAAAAAAAAGAAGGTCATTTAGCGGTTATGCAGCAAAGTAATTATATCTGAAAGATATTAAATAATAAAATTCTCTTAATATTTGGAGTGTTAGTCATCATGCCTTACCTTTTAATATTGAACGAGACTCTGGTTCAATATCTGCTGTCTGAATAATTCTGTCTCTAACAATGAAGGAAGTACTTAAGGCTACATCTTCACAAAAACCGTGTGGACATTTTCCTCTTATATCCGTTGGAGTAGTTTCAAATGCGATACCTTTCGTGGCTGAGGCTGCTTTGGTACTTGAAGTTTCGGAACTTATTGGAGAATCCGTGGTGTCAACAGCGATCCCTGTGGTGGTTGAGGCCGTTTCGGCACTCGTTGACAAACCGGGGGTGTCAGTAGAGATACCTGTTGTGGTTGAGGCCGTTTTCGTGGTGTCAGTATCAATGCCTTTTGTTGTTGAGGCTGTTTCTGCACTCCTTAAGAAACCTTTGGTGTCAGCAGCAACGAATTTCATGGCTGAAGCTGTTTCGGCACTCGTTGATAAACTCGTGGTATCAGTAGTGATGCCTTTTGTGGTTGAGACAGTTTCGGCACTCGTCGAAAAACCAGTGTTAGTTGAGGGCGTTTCGACTTTCGTTGTTGAGGTTGTTTCTGCACTCCTTAAGAAATCTGTGATGGTTAAGAACGTTTTATCACTCTTTGAGAAACCCGTGGTGTCAACAACGCCACCTGTGGTTGTTGAGGCCGTTTCGGCACTTGAGAAACCCGTGGTGTCAGTAGCAAAGCCTTTCATAGTAGAGGCTGTTTCTGCATTCCTTAAGAAATCTTTGGTGTCAGCAGCAACGGCTTTCATGGTTGAAGCTGTTTCGGCTCTCGTTGAGAAACCCGTAGTGTCAATAGCGATGCCTGTGGTAGCTGAGGCCATATCAGCTCTCGCTGAGAAACCCGTGGTGTCAACAGCGATGCCTGTGGTGGTTGAAGGCGTTTCGACACTCGATGAGAAACCCGTGGTGTCAAGAGCGATGCCTGTGGTGGTTGAGACAGTTTCGGCACTCGCCAAAAAACCCATGGTGTCAAGAGCGATGCCTGTGGT